AGATTGAAAGGCCAGGAGCTAATATTCACGAGTTTTTAAAATAAATGTTTATTAATTTATTGTTTCTATTATTATAGTTTACCTGTTGACGTAAACAAATTACTGTTACTATTCTTTTACATTTTGACTCCTTTTCATGTTGTTTACTACATATCCATTTCTCCAAATGTGTGACAGGGCATCTGAATTCTTTATCCTTGTTCCCCTTCTGTTTCTGTTATGAAGGTAAACATTTTGCATTAAAGATTAAATTTTACCTATTGTTTTTAAGCCTCATATTTTCTTTACTGGTCTGTTGTATTACTGCCATAAAGTGCTGTTGTTTGTAAATATATTTTTTTGTTATAAAGTATATCAGTGATATTCTTGGTAAGATATAGATACTGTATGATTAAAAAATAAGGTTTGGATACTAAATTATATATTTATTCATGTGGGCATAACATTATAAGTATGTAGCTCTCACTTATTTTAAGAATTGATAGTGAGTTCATGTTTTTTGTACTTTATCCATGAATTTTGTATTTTGGTTAGGAATTCTTTATATTGTTGATAAATCTTAGCTATTAGTGTTTGATAATTGGAGCTTCATCTTTAAGTAAGGAATGTAAAGATTTTTTTTGGCATTGCGTGTTAGTTCAATCAGTAATATTTGAAAACTGGTGTTCATATATTTGTAAGCTTCATTTTTCTGAATAATTTAAGGGAGAGTTAGGACTTTGTGACTTTAGTTTTTGTTTTTATTATAAAATATTAAACTCTTTTAAAAATTGTAATAGAAAACTACTTGATATTTTGATTGTTGTACCGTTGTCCCAGCAGTATTTTTTAAATGTGAGTTATGCCTTTACTATTTTTTATGCACAAAAGTAGTATATACATGGCAATCTGTACTATCTGTTATGATATTAACACTGTTAATGATCTAGTGTAAAGTTGAACTGAAAGCTAACGTAGGCTAAGAGCTACTTATTTATTAGAAAGGCATTTACTTATATAGAAAATGAACCAAAGAAGATTGGACGGTGTAAGAGAAATTTATTCAGTCTGGTTAAGCTTGTCTTTAATAAAGAAATATTCATTATCATGGCCATTAATACAGTTTGGTTGACATACCTATGAAGAGTCCTCTTGTTTTTCTTTTTCATTTGAATTTAGATCAACATCAGTTGTTAAGACATGAGCTTAGCAGACAATAGCTTTGGTAAGAATGCTTAAGTGAAAAGGAATCTTTACTTGTATGATATGTGTGCTTTTAAACCCTTGATATTAGGGGGACTATCACTGTGAGGAATAAAAAGAGGATTTTGCCATTGCATAATGAGCAGCACTGGTTGCAGAGCACAGTTTAAATCACTAACAATAGATAACTGCCAGGATCTGTTGCAAGATGCCAAAATTCTTGAATTTTATAAAATGTTCCAACTTTGTGGGTTTATGATTATGAAACAAAGTAAAGATTCAGTTGTAGGATTTTATATTATTTAGTATGTAATACTGTAGGCCTCTTCTGAGGTTAAGTGTCAGACTCTTGGAAGCAATATTTTTAGATGATGTTTAAAAATGTCCAGTTTGTTTTTATAATCTTGTTGTTTTTGTTGTCATGTTACGCATTCATGATAGTGCCTGTTTATGGTATTTGGCTTCTTCCTTTGTAATTAGTCAGTCTTTTCCTTTCTGATCTGTGAAAGGATGAACTGTTTATCCCAGCACTGTTGAGTATTGTTAGTATGCAAAAACAAGGCACTCGGCACTAATTTGTTTTGATAGTAATTAACCATGTCTGGAATAGATAATAACTTTTTTTTTCCAAAATGACATAGTAATAATGTATCAAAGCAAAATTTTCAGAATCTATCTTTGTATTCTAGAATTGTGTTTCTTCCTTTTTTTTTTAGCCTTTCATTTTTTAAGAATTAACAATTGTATATTCACACTCTATGGGTTTTCATGAGGTTATGATGTAGTATGAAATGCATACTTGTCATGGCTACTTATTTCAGATTTTGCATATACTAATTTTGCATAAACTGAGACTTTTTTTTATATTTGAGCAGAGTGGCATAGTCTAATCCACTTAATTGAAGGACTGGAAGGGTTATTTTTGACAGGTTTTAATAAGAAACTATTTTGAGAAAACAGATTATTGTCTACACAGTGTTGTGCATTGACATGTTGAGCACAGCACTGAAGAGTCTCTCTCTCTCTCTCTCTCTCTCTCTCTCTCTCTCTCTCTCTCTCTCTCTCTCTCTCTCTCTCTCTCTCTCTCTCTCTCTCTCTCTCTCTCTCTCTCTCTCTCTCTCTCTCTCTCTCTCTCTCTCTCTCTCTCTCTCTCTCTCTCTCTCTCTCCTCTCCCTCTTCTCCCTCTCCCTCTTCTCCCTCTCCCTCTTCTCCCTCTCCCTCTTCTTCCTCTCCCTCTTCCTCTCCTTCTTCCTCTCCGTCTTCCTCTCCCTCTTCCTCTTCCTCTTCCTCTCCCTCTCCCTCTCCCTCTCCCTCTCCC